GCAGAATCCGGAGATCAGTAATCTACAATTTTTCCATTGCAGACTCTAGGTCTGATAACGTAGGGGCTCTCAACCTCAACCCGCCTATACTAGCAGATTTTTTCTTCTTCATGAGGTACGCCCTATGCTCCGGCATGAATTTCTAGATCATTTTTCAAGCCCAGAAATATATGCCGGCAGAAACATGAACAAAAGGCTTACCAATTGCCGACATGTCTTCACCATGTTCTCAAGTGATCCGACTCCTTCGGCAAAGTGCGAACCTCCACCCCATACACATCTAATTGATCTTGTTGTACGACGAAATTCATCTTAATAAGCTCATACATGGCAGCAGTCATCTTTGTAAAATTAAGTTCGAAGAAATTGTTATGTAGTCGGGGTAGATAAGAATCTGCCTTTTCCAATCGAATAGCTCGTGCTATATGTACTTATTGTGTCTGATCGCACCACCTTCTAGAGACAACTAGATCTCCTTGCTAATTTGAAAAGGTTCTTCGGCCGAGGACCTGCACCTCTAACGCAAACAACCTGAGAAGGCATTCTCGCGAGAAGCCTTACAAAAGCATTAACAATGGTATGCCGCTATTCTCTTGTTCGTTGATATATAGCAATTTTAGTTCGTTGATATATACCAATTATGGTAAGTATTCACTCATAGCAATCATGGCAAATGCTCATTCATACAGTTGATTCGTGCCAATTATGGCAAGTTCTTTTAATCACTTGCCTTTTTTGCACCGTTTACTCTTGCCTTCTGCGTTACTGCCGCAGGACCACATAATGGCAATATATAATTGTGTATTATGATAATATACGAGTACATACCTTTATGAAAATGATATACGCACTAATTTTCCACAGATATCATTTGTGCTCAATTTTATTATATTTACTCATTTACATTCCACACATTCCATTTAAATTAGTAGCTTAGTGCATGAGTGGAGTTGTGTACCTTCATGACAGCCAAATGGTGATACCGTCTGCGAGGCTAGTTTCAGTTCCTGTGTGAGATATTTCATAAGGTGTCGGAACATATATAAGGTATACGCAGGTATTATACGCTTTATTCACATGTAGGGAGGGAGTCAATGGCTGAGTCGGGTGGGCGTCCCCTGTATATGCCACATTTTGACATATTGTGTTTCATATTGGAGTCATCCGCCCAGAATTGACAGACATTGTGAAGGCTGTACATTACACTTGTATTGTGATTGTGTCAGCTGACGTCGTCCACAAGGAGGCGTTGAAGATGATGGTATATTTGGCGAACCCTAAGGAAGACCTTTGTTGCACGTGAACGGCGGGCAGAAATAACTCTGAAATAATACTCTTGCCTGGTGTTTTTCGTAGGCGGCCAGAGCTGACCTTGAAATAGTACTCTTGCTTGGTATTTTTCGTACAGGTTTGTACGCATCGAAAGTAATCAATCTGGGACTCTTCTTTCCTTGAGAAGTTGTGTACGACGGTTACGGTGGACCCGGTCATAAAGATTGTCTTAGATCTAGGACGACCAAGTGCTGTCTTTGGCTATGTGCAGTAAGTCTTATTTTATGAAATATGCACTCATTTAAAATGAGTGCGTGTACGAGCGTGGAGCAATTATTCTGGTAGGAATGTGGTTAGATGATTATTGCCAGTTCAAAATTCGCCGGAAAATTTGGGGGATGCTGTTGCGACCGATTTGTCCTGTATGTTTTCGTTGGTGTTTACATCTTTCGTTGATCCTGGGATCCGAATAGAGCCCTAAGTAGTCAGATATTGTAAAAGCATGATCTGCATCTATGTGTATTTTAACTGTTGGGTCCTGTGATGTTAGGCTTGGAGAAAGCTTGTTGTAATCTACTGTGTAAGTGTAGTTTTCGGCCGGCAGGGAGGCGTTGATTCGTTAAGGCTGGGAGGCAATTTAGTGTCCTTTGGGTAGGGGTGTATGATTTGAGGATACCTACTTGTATTGCCCAAATTAGTATCGAGTCCAAAACTTCGGGCGGGAGATTGCCAATCCAGGAATGTCTTCCAGACTTTCTGTTTGTTATTTACTTGGATAAGGATATTTTGACTATTTTGAGATAGTTTTTAGTGGTTCATCCTGAAACGATTGAACCCCCAGACGGCTTACCCATTGAGCTTAGAGGGAGTCCTTCAAGTTGTATTGTAGAAGGCGTAAGAGGAGTTTTTTGGAAGTTGGTTTTTGATGGATAGAGGATTGATACTGGTGATTATATTGTGAAAGAATACCCACTAGTATCTTCTTGGAGTATGTTTGAAAGTTTGGGATGTCTACGAATAAGTGGTTTTTTTGTTTCTGGGAAGACAGGGGCGTGATAAGAGAATGAAAATGTGTTGCTACCTGTTTGAAATGTGAAAGAAAACTAGGACCCCATAATATCTCGAACTAGATTGGGGCGGCATATTATGTGTGTCTTGGAAGTTGCATAATCTATTTATGTTATGTGGCTGTACCAACATTCTGTGATAATGAGGTAGTCTGCTTCTTTCGCTAGCAGTTCGACTGTCGGTATACTGTTTGCGTGGCGAGTTTTCTTCGTAAGTTGATGGTTGCTGGCATTGTTGGGGTTCGGCCTCGCTTGAGTCCTATAGAGTTGGATTATTTTATGAAAAGGGTTCAGGCAGATATTGGTGTAGGGGGGATCGTAGGTGTGATAGCAGGTGAAGAAGGTGAAGTATGAAGTTGATGTTTGTTGGCGTCGAAAGCTCTGCTGGTGAGCCCACTTGATTCGTGGGTGGGATGGTGCTGGTTTGAATGTCGATTGGTAGAGTATTTGATGATGAATTGTTTGGCTACGGGTCATGCGAGGAGGAATAATCTGGCCAGGTGGGGCGGGCTCTAATGAGGATACCGTTGGGAGTCCGCCCGAGACTTCATCCATTGGCTGGATGATACTCGTGGGTCTATGTGATTAGGGGATGTGAGAGGTGTAGTCGCTGTGCTTATGGACTCGGTGCGCTCAGATTTGCTCAGCTGAAGGTTCGCAGGATTCTAAAACTACTCTCTGTTGATTTGTGCTGGACAGTATGCGTAGATTCTTCTTGAGACTGTTCATACGACATTTTATTGTAGTCAGGTAAGGAGGTTTTGTTTGATTCTTTTTCCAACGAGGTAGTGTCGATTGTTTTGTGTACGGGGAATATGCTTGTGATTACCATAGGTGGTGCACCCCTCGAGGCTGAGTTTGGTAGTACGCGAGTATGTCTGTTGCAAAAAAGCTGTTTACTGTGTTGGACAGTCAGAACACTTGGGATGTACGTTGCTGTTACGCTTTCATCGCAGAACTTTGGTTGCTACTTGTCTGACCAACTAAGTGTCTCCATCATGCACTATAACTTCGATGGCGGGGTTACCTACTGCAGTGAGATGTATGTTGATACTAGGTATTGTTCGAAGGTCAGGGATATTCTGTAGATTGCGTTTGATATCTGAAAGAGATTTGTATAGTTTGGAGGGTTTGAAATGAAGTGCTGTTGTTTTGGTCTTTGTCTCACTTATTCTTTGTAAGCGAGACATTAGAGGGCGAGGAGGTATGGTGTTAAAGAGAGGGTTGTTGGTCCCGTGGTTGGCAAGAGATGTTAGTAAATGAGTCATGTAGGGTTGGGAAGTGGTTCTTGCCCGATGTACCCTAATGGATATCTTAAAGGAACTTGGGTGAAGTCGGCATTATTATTGGGAGATTGAGCTAATAAGAGATGTGATATGTGGAGCGGAGGTCAGAATAAATTCCTTTGTCATCGCGATGGTGTGCATCTGTGGGTCAGGCGCAGTGATAGGAGGTGATGTCAAGGTGTTTTGGAATTTCAAGAAACAGGCTAATAGTTGAAGTGTTCTTCTGAACAAAGACTAAATATGAACAAAGCATAAATATGAACTAAGAATGAATATAAACAAAGAATAAATATGAACAAAAATAAATATGGACAAAGATCAAAAATGAACAAAGAATATATATATGCGAACGCGGTAGATCGTCCGTCTGAGGGTCAAGATGTATATGAGGAGTTATTCGAGTGACCACACACCTTTGTATTATTACTGGGCATGTATACGTACTGATGACTAAAAATTGCTCAGTGAGTTCATTTCGATTGAGAAATAGTTAAAAAGAATATATCGCGCATGTCTACCAATAGAGAAGAGTAGCCTGATCCATTTTTAAAGATCCGAAAATATAACATACATCACAGACTTGCAACATATTTGATATAAATCGTTCTGAAATGACTCGTTTGAATTGAATTGATTTGAATCCGGTTGAATTGGATAAAATTGAGTTGAATTGAGTCTATTGAAATTGTATTTGTAATAGAATATGTATGCCGAGAATATGAGGTGTTGTTTCATTAATTATGGACGCGAGGCGTAGAAGGTCATACTCTGCATAATATGGCAGATTCGCACTTTTTTCTCCTCATCATGCAAATATGGCTCGCAAAGACTTGTAGATCACGCATGCTACGGTTGTTCCAGTTTCTAACGTATTTCTTAAGGGTGTCAACAAAAAATGAATTCAACAATAAGCGTTTGTTATGCGTACTCTAAAGAAAAGGTCTCCTCTACAAAAGAGACAACATAATAAACCTAATCATTAAATTTATAAAGAAGTATAAGACGATAAGCAAAGTTTGACTAGGCAGTCACAATTTTCATCAATAAAATATCATGGCCAAATTTTTCTACTTACGCTTCTTTGTTGGGGTACTAGCGTGTGCCAATGTTCATGCGCAAGCAGTATGTGACGCGTCGCACAGCCCGTCGGAAATTTGTGCTCGCGCACTTCCATGAGCAGGGTAGTGGTTTATAATTGTGTTTTGAAATACATGGTAGGTGACGACAACGGTACAAGCGTTCGTTCCGATTCAATTGATCATCGTAATTGCTAGTCGGTAATGCAGCGAAAAGAAAGAAAGGGTAGCGATGCACTGTCTAGGAGTTCCTCGTACTCGAAAGTTGAGATAGATCAGACTAGCATACATCAAGACCATGCCGTTTTGTACATTCTAAATTACTTTATTCACAAGTAACCGCTTGCGCATACAAGAGTTTGATGGCACACATTGAATAGAGACTATGCCAGAGTCCAATTCAACGTATCACATCACGCGTCCACTGACGAGATTCTAAAACCACAGCCTCGAAAAATGTATGCGGAAATGACACATACAGGGCTGTAACAACGGTCCCGCTTTAAATGTCTATATCCAAAGACACTTCGATAGGTTTGCACGCCCAATCAGAGAGTTCTTTACTCAGAACTTCATTGATGGATACACCATCATGTGAATAACTCCATTCCTTTGCTTCTTCGTCGAAGTCATATCTTTTTGGTCCACTGTAAAGTATTCAGGCGCAAGTAATGAGAAAATTAAACTTCGTTCCTGCACGAGTCGTCCAATCTAAGTCTAGCATATGTGGACTACGAATGTAAACTTTCTGATAACAAGGGTGCGATCAAACCTGTAACAATCAAAACTATTGAGGCAAAGACAGATGCGAAAGACGAGCACATCTGCACGAGAAATTTAGCACATACCACTTGTCTGGACCAGGGGTCACGAGGAAAAATGTACTAGTACAGCGTACTGCAAGATGTATATGCTAGATGTATAACAGGCAAAAGAAGCACATACGCAGTATAGCACATACGCTGATACATTATTTAAGAATTAAAAAAACAACAAATAAGAAAGTAGTCGCTGACATCACCGAATGGTTTGTATGCTCCGCGTACATGAGCACATACATAGAGAAGATATGCGCTGATGCAAACAGGGGTTAGAGTTTAGGGTTTTTTACCAGTGTATCACATACTATTAGATTGGGGAATAACAGCCAACCACAAAACAACCTATAAAAAGATGTGATACCAACACACGGTATCATGAACGGGTCGAGCTACTCAAAAGATAGATATAGCCATCGTACACCGTTCGCAGGCAGGTATTGAAGAAAGCCATACCAAATAGGTGATGAAAGCCAGATTTGTTTATTTGGTGTTTGCTTGTTGATTACGTAAGTGCCGAAATTACCAAGATCGACCGTTAAGACTCCATTCTGCCATGTAAACGTTGTCAGGTGTTGTGTAGACGGTTCGGATATACGAGTAAGCTACGAACAAATTAATTATACACATCGATCTAGAACGCTATCTGACAAAATATATGGAATTAGACCATACTGTGTATACCACAAACTATGCACACAAGGAGCTAACGACACAACGAAAACGGTGCGAGTAGTGGTGTATAAGAGCGGCGACGGTGACAACTATACACACAGAAGCACGAAGCAACCGCTCTACTCCTGGTCGGAAATTATGCCCGTAATGAGCGCAAATATGAAGTGAGATCATAGTCCGAAATTTGAATTGTGGAAAAATCGCTTTCATGCAGACCCACGATGTAAGCAATCCAGCAGTGAAATTATTTGAAAGTGTACAATTGAAAGCCCATCTAAACACCCAATAAATCGAATATAGAAATATAGACAATTGGAAATAACTACTTTTTCCACAGGTTACATCCAGAATCATGACAAAACACGCACACTTGGTGTTAAGTGTGCATATCAAACACTGTCCATTCATGCAGTGCTAGCATACTCTCGTGGAATACGATTGTGGCTGCATAGACGCAACCAAAACAATCTTCCGCTCAGCAGAGATAGTCTCTCACTAAACACGCCCACTACCCACACAACTACGCAATCTATAGCAGTATGGAAGCAAGGACGCAACATGCCTTGTATATAGGGTGAACAGTACCTACAAATGCACATCACGGTATAAATCATCCACATCATGCGCAGTGACTGCATGCAATATTCGGACTATTTACAAACAACAATATTTGTACTGATTACATACCCCATATGTAACATCTAGATCCTCGCCGTCTTTGCCCTCTACATCCTCCACTATCTCATCGAAAATATCCGTCAACTGTGTCATCGTATCATCAGCCAATCTTTGAAATTGTTTCTCAGTCATTGTGCTGTTGATAGAGAGACGACATGGGCACATGCGATAATGAGCGGAATGTCCATGAAAAACATATGCTAGCTGAATTGAATACAGAAACAGAACTATAATGGCATATATCGGTACCAAATTATACCAACACGACTTACAACTGTGTACATTCAACCGATATTCCAAGAAAAAATATAATTCCGCCAAACGAACCATTAAATCTAATCTCTCGAACAATCTCGAAAATAAAGTTCGTACAGAGTCCCTTAGAACAATAGGTATAAGAATTATACAGATATGTACCTATATATATATATATATATATATATATATTGATATATAGATATATATATACATAAAAATTTATATGCAAATGCAGATTCATATACTTATACATATACATACGCACACAAACAAACAAACAGACACACACACATATATATATATATATATTTATATATATATGTACATATATATATATCTATATCTATAGATATAGATGTATATAGACATACACATATACTACGACATACATACATTTGTACGATATAGATACATACATGCATACATACACACACAGACACACACACACACACACACGCATATATATATA